ATCCCCTTAACTGTGTCTGTGTCATTATTAAAAACTGGCCTTTCAAGGCAACAATACCACTGAGCTGCTGGATCCCTTCAGCAGGACACGTGTTACAAAATTATCTCCCATGCCTTTTCCCACAATTTTTATGGCTTTAGACACCCTAGAGAACACAGTTTCCCCTAAAATTAATAACCAGTTCCCACCCCAATGAGCAGGGCACTGATAAAGATAAAAGAGAAGTGTGACCTTGTTCCCTCTCACAGCCTGGAGAATTTCCCTGCAGCAGGCACGCTGTGGGGTCACATCAGCTCACACACCCCAGCTGCTGTCCCTGGGCTGGGATCTCCGAGAGGTTCCCTGGGATGATCCCTGGGGAAAGGGGAGCCAAACCCAGCGGCTGAGCCGGGGCAGTGTCCGGCGTGGGGTCAGCCCCAGGCCCTTCCACACCCCCTTTTCTCCGTGCTGGCTCACGTTCTCCAGGGCTCTCACAAACAGGGAACTATTTCAGAGCCTTTGCCGGTATCAGGGCTCTGCTTCTGATCTGCTCTTGGCTTTGTGCAGGAAATGAGTGATAGGAGAGAGCCTCAGGAAGGAGCCCTGTGGGAAAAGCAGTTTGTCTCTGTGTCAGGTTCCTCTTTCATTTTAAATGAACCCCAATCCCAAAACCTTGTCTTTGGACTGTCTCACCTTGACCCCTGTTATTCCTGAGGGGCATCCTTAGGACTCTGTACTACAACATTTTGATTCCTGATTCAAACGTAGTTTTACAACTTGTACACCACAATTTCAGTGGTACTCGACCTTCATCCTATAGTTTCCAAGAGGATTCATGGAATAATAAATTCTATGCATGAGCTGGAGCACAGGCACAGGGCAGAGTGATGATTTAGGATTTCAGGAATGCAATTTTTTCTAAGTAGAGGTCAATTAATGCTGCTCTCTTGGCTACAACCCTTAGAAAGTTTGAGGTTTCATTTGAATAGCGTTCCTCCTCTCTTGGGAGTCAGAGAGCAGTCTACAATGAATTCCATGGAATTCCTAGAAAGATAGAATGAGGTGAGATTATTCCTACCCAGGCTGATGTGTCTGGGAGCTGGGATGCTCCTGCTGGAAACTGGCATTTGTGGAGACCCTGGGACCAGAACTGCCTCCTCCCTTCCCTTCCAACACCGCATTCATGTCCCAAGCTATGGAATCTCACATCCCCTCTCCAGGACAACCCTTTCAATGGTAAACAGTTCATGATCCATGAGCTAAAGGGACTCCAGGGGAGGTGGAGAGGGACACTGGACAAGGGGGAATGGCTTCCCACTGATAGAGGGTGGGTTCTGATTGGATATTAGGGAGAAATCCTTCCCTGTGAGGGTGGAGAGGCCCCAGCACAGGTTTCCCAGAGAAGCTGTGACTGCCCCTGCATGCCTGGCACTGTTCCAGACCACGTTGGATGGGGTTTGAAGCAACCTGGTCTGGTGTAAGGTGTCCCTGCTGGCAAAGGGGTGGGATCAGATAAAAGCACCCACAAGTGCTCCCAAGACTGATGGAGGGGAGGAGGATGAGCTGCTTATGAAGGGCTGGGAGGGGATCACATTGCCCAAAAATCTGGTCCGTAATAGCTTTCATTGCATCATTAAGGTAGTAAGGCAGTAATTAATGTGGGCTCTGAGTGCTGAGAACCTGGCTGCAAACATCTCCCTGCTGTTCTTCTCTTGAGCTGTGTGAGCCTGCATTAAAATGAAAAAAAAATAGGAATTCTTGGCTCAGCCTCCTTGGGCCCAGGGGAGGATTTTGCAATGATCCTGATGATTTTCCCAGAATGAGAGTGATTCTGAATGAGAGTGAGAAGCACCCAGCTGCCTCCCCAGCACTGCCAGCACCACCAGCATTCCAGTGCCACCAGCAGCACCAGCATCCCTCTGCTGGTGGAGGGACCATGAGCCTTCAGAGAAGAGAAACGAGGAATGGTAGAAACCTGTCAGGAGAGGGAAGGCAGTTGGAGAATGGGACATTCCACAGGGAAGGAGTGTTTCTAATCAGGAGGAAATGAAGAGCCAATCACAAAATGCGACTTCTGAACAATGGCCCTTTTTTTGAGGAAAAAAAAGTCAATAATTCCAAGGCTGTGCAGCTGTGACAGAGCCAAAGTTGTAAACCATTTCCGACTGCCCTTTGATCCCAACGAGTCTTTGGGAGCGCCAGGGACAGGGCATGAAGCAGAGTCAACAGGGTTGGAGTGGGGACGTCCTGAAGATCTGGGCACTTTCTCCTTTATGTAACTGACCTGGGAGGATCCACTTTAGGATAAGGATCCGAAAAAAAGATCAAGAGATGCCAGGAATCACCGCTGATCTGGACAGACACCCTTTGCCTGCTGCTGCCCCACACTCAACAGGTCAGTGCAATCTTTTTCTTCTTCCCTGCCCCTCCTTCCTCTCCTCCAGCAGCTGCTCTGTTCCTGCCACCCTCTCCCAGTGACTGCAGTGGCCTCCCCAGGTGCTCCCTCCTCTGCCCTGAGCTTTCCTTCTGCATATTGATACTGAAATGGGCCAGAAATACACAATGGGAGGCATTTGGAGGCAGGAATTCTTTACCCTCTATGGTGGTTTTGCTTGGTCCGTTTCTTGGTGGCGGAGGGTTGGAACCAAGAAACCACAAAGATGGCTCCTGTGAGAAAGTTCTGGAAACTTTCTGTTTCTTCTCCATCAAGGAGCCCTGCCCCCCTGTGTTCTGTGGTGGCTCTGAGGGTGATGGACAGGCTGCTGGTCAGGCCTGGGCCGATTGCACAGGTTGGTTTCCCTCTGTGATGATTTATGGTCTTGTACTTAAAAAGAGTCCAAAACAAGGTAGTTTGCAGCTGCCATATTAGCTCTTAGGTTGTTAGTCCCATCCCCTGCACAGGTGTCTTAAAATGTCCACTTTTCTTTAGTTTGTTTCCCTTCATTTTTCCTTTCCTTCCCCATCCACTTCCCCCCCC